GCAAAAATTACAATAATATACAGGGGATCAAGTCACTGTGGCAGATGGGGCTAGAATTACTTTTTGGAGAGGATGGCCTGGGGAAGCTGAAGCCCCAAGAAGGACAGTGGGCTACCTGAGGTTACTTGTGGTGTGGTAGATCAATAAAATAAGACGTGGAATTCTATTCATTTGGATACTTTAAGAGAGATTCAATGAGTGACTGAGGTACTGGGATTGTGCCCACTAATGTGCCCAGAAAATATTTCAGTCATATTCAGTTTTGTATTCTGAGAGAATTAATTCTGAAATCTATTTTTAAATTATTAATATGTATAGCTGGCCAGTTATTACTTAACTTTTAGAAAATCTTTTCTTTGCTAAAATGTATGATGAGGAAATGGAAGCAGTGATAGCACGAAATAAGGAGAAGACAAGGCATGAAAATGATGTGAACATAAGCAAATATTTTATCACCAATTTTAAATTTTTAACACTTTATTGAGATATTTACCTACCATACAATTAATTTAAATTGTACAGTCACTGGTTTGTGGAATATTGAGAGATATGTGCAACCATCACCGGTGAATTTTAGAACATTTTCATCACGTCCAAAAGAAACACTATTATCTTTAGCTATCATACCTGTATCTCCACGTCTCTTACAACCCCCAGCCCTAAGCAACTCCTAATCTACTTTCTTTTCTTTTCTTTTTTTTTTTTTTTTTTAGTACTAGATGGGAAGATCAACTAATCTACTTTCTATCTCTATAGATTTCCTTATTCTGAGCTTTCATCTGAATTGAATCAAATATATAGTCTTTGACGACTAGCTTCTTTCACTTGGCATGTTTTTAATGTTAATCCATTTCATAGCATGTATCATTACTTCATTTCTTTGTATGAGCTAATGTTTCATTGCATGGACATCTATATTTATCAATTTCTCAGTTGATAGACATTTTGGTTATTTCTGCTTTTTGGCCATTTTGAATAGTGCTGCTACAAACATGCATGTAAAAATTTCTGTGTGGGCATGTTTCCATTTCTCTTGGGTATATACCTAGAAGAGGAATTGCTGGACCATATGGTAACTCTGTGTTTAACATTTTGGTGAATTGATGAACAGGTTTTCAAAGAAGCTGTACCATTTTACAATCCGACTGGATGTGGATGAGTGTTCTGATTTGTCTATGTGCTTACCAGCACCCATTGCTATCTGACTTTTTGATTCTAGCCATTTTAAAGGCTATGAATTTTGATTTGCATTTCTCTGATGACTAATATTATCAAGCATCTTTTCGTGTGCTTATTGGTCATTTATGTATCTTGGAGAAATGTCTATTTAGATCCTTTGCCTATTTGTAAATTAGATTGTCTTTTTATCATTGTGTTGTAAGAGTTCTTTATATATTCTAGATAAAGGTCACTTGTCAGATATATGATTGGTAAATATTTTCTCTCATTCAGTGGATTGTTTCTTTTTTTTCTTTTTTGAGACAGAGTCTCGCTTTGTTGCCCAGGCTAGAGTGAGTGCCGTGATGTCAGCCTAGCTCACAGCAACCTCAAACTCCTAGACTCAAGCGATCCTCCTGCCTCAGCCTCCCAAGTAGCTGGGACTACAGGCATGTGCCACCATGCCAAGCTGATTTTTTTTCTATCTATTTTTAGTTGGCCAATTAATTTCTTTTTATTTTTAGTAGAGATGGAGTCTCGCTCTGGCTCAGGCTGGTTTTGAACTACTGACCTTGAGTGATCCACCCTCCTCGGCCTCCCAGAGTGCTAGGATTACAGGTGTGAGCCACCGTGCCCGGCCAGTGGATTGTTTCTTCACTTTCTTGATGGTGTACTTTGAAGTACAAAAGTTTTTAATTTTGATGAAGTCCAGTGTATCTATTTTTTCTTTTGTTGTTCATGGTTTTGGTGTCATATCTAAGAATTCATTGCCAAATCCAAGGTCATGAATATTTTCCCTTATATTTTCTTCTATAGGTTTTATAGTTTTAACTCACACTTAAGTCTTTGATCCATTTTAAGTTAATTTTTGTATATTGTGTGAGGTAACAGTCCAACTTTATTCTTTTGCATATGCATATCTAGTTGTCCCAGCACCATTTCTTCAAAAGACTATTTTTCCTGCTATTGAATGGTCTTCTCACCCTTGTCAAACATCATTTGACCATTGATGTATGGGTTTATTTCTGGACTCTCTATTCTATTCCTATTTTGCCAGTACCACACATTTTGATTACTATTGCTTTGTAGTAAGCTCTGAAATTGGGAAGTATCCTCTAACTTTGTTCTTTTTCAAGATTATTTTTGCTATTCTGGGTTCCTTGCAATTCCATATTAATTTTAGAATCAGCTTGTCAATATTGCCATCTTAACAATGTTAAGCTGATTCATGAACATGAGTTTTTTCTTTATTTGGATTTTCTTCCTTCAACAATGTTTCATAGTTTCCAGAGTATAATCTTTGCACTTCTTTGGTTTATTTCTATTTTATTCCTTTTGATTCTATTATAAATGGAATTGTTTTCAGCTTTTTCATTGCAAGTGTATACAAATACAGTTAATTTTTATATATTGATCTTGTATCCCTCAACCTTGTTTAACTTATTTATACTAATAGTTTTTTAGTGAATTCTTCCTTAGTATTTTTTTATACAAAATGTCATCTGTAAATAGAGATAATTTTACTTCTACCTTTCCAATCTGGATATCTTTTATTAATTATTCATTTATTTGCCTAATTGCCCTGGCTAGAACCTCCAGCTTAATATTAAATAGAAGTGGTAAGAATGGACATTCTTGTCTTTTTCCTAACTTAGGGGAAAGCATCCATTCTTTCACTGTGAAATATGATGTTAACTGTGGTTTTTCATAGATGCCCTTTATGAGGTTGAGGAAGTTCTCTTCTGCACTTTTTAAAAAATTGTATCATGAAATGGGGTTGGGTTTTGTTTTTTGTCAAATGCTCTTTCTGTGTCTACTGAGATGATCATGTGATTTTTGTTTTTTATTCTGTTGATATAATGCTAAAATATTAATGTAATCATTAATTGATTTTTCTTTTAAATGTTAAACCAACCTTGAATGTCTTTTGTTTGTTTTCTGTCTGTGTGCTTGAACCAGAACCAACCTTGAATATCTGTGATAAATCTTACTTGGTTATGGTATATAATTCTTTTTATATGTTGCTGATTCAGTTTGTTAGTATTTTGTTGAGGATTTTTGCAAACATATTCATAAGAAATTCAGGTTTGTAGTTTGTTTTCCTGTGATGTTTTTATCTGGTTTTGGTATAGGGTCATATTGGCCTCATAAAATGAATTGAGAAGTCCCTTCCCCACTTCCATTTTTTAGAAGAGTTTGTGAAAAATTGGTATCAATTCTTACTTTGGTGGAATTTGGAAGCCAACTGGGCCTGGGCTTTACTTTGTGGGTAGTTTTTTGATTACTAATTCAATCCATTCACTTGTATAGTTATTCAGATTGTCCATGTCTTCTTGAGTTAGTTTTGGTAGTTTGTGTCACTCTAGGAATTTGTCATTTCATCTAAGTTATTTAATTTTGGCATACAGTTGTTCATAGTATTCCTTTGTAATCCTTTTATTTCTATTATATAAAAATAAATATAATGCCAGTGGTAATATTCCCTCTTTAACTTCAGATTCTAGTAACTGGAGTCCCCTTCAACTCTCATTCATGTTCTCTTTCTCTCCCTTATCAGTCTAGCTAAGGTTTTGTCCATTTTGTTGATCTTTTTAAAGAATCAGCTTTTGGTTTCATTGATTTTTCTTTGTTTATTTGTTTCTTATTTTTTTATTCCCTATTTCATTAATTTCTACTCTAGTCTTTACTATTTCCTTCCTCCTTCTTACTCTAGGTTTAGTTTGTTCTTTTTCTCCCTAGTATCTTAAAGTGGATGATTAGGTTATTAATTGGAGTTCTTTCTTCTTTCTTTTGTCATTTATAGCTATAAATTTCCCTGTAATCACTGCTTTAGGAGAATCCTATAAGTTTTGTTATGTTGTTCTTCATTTCCATTCATCTCAAAGTATTTTTTAGTTTTTCCGTTTGATTCCTTCTTTAATTCCTTGTCTACTTAGGACTGTGTTGTTTAATTTCCACGTATTTGTGGAAATTAAACATTTTTAACAGTTTAAACATTTTTTTCCCTGCTATTGATTTATAATTTTATTCTATTGTGGTTGGGGGACATACTTTGTATTATTTCTACCCTTTTAAATTTATTGAGGTTTGTTTTATGGCCTAGCATATAGTTTATTCTGGAGAATGTTCCCATGTGCATTTGAGAAGAATATATATTCTGTTATGCCTGGGTGGAGTGTTCTATAGATATCTGTTAGTTCTAATTGGTTTAATATTGTTATTAAAGTATTTCCTTGTTAATCTATCCATTGTTCTATCTAATTGTTCTATTATTGAAAATAGAAGCCAGGCGTGGTGGCTCACGCCTGTAATCCTAGCACTCTGAGAGGCCTAGGCCGGCGGATTGCTCGAGGTCAGGAGTTCAAAACCAGCCTGAGCAAAAGCGAGACCCCAACTGTACTATAAATAGAAAGAAATTAATTGGCCAACTAATACATATAGAAAAAATTAGCTGGGCATGGTGGCACATGTCTGTAGTCCCAGCGACTCGGGAGGCTGAGGCAGCAGGGTTGCTTGAGTCCAGGAGTTTGAGGTTGCTGTGAGCTAGGCTGACGCCACGGCACTCATTTTAGCCTGGGCAACAAAGCAAGACTCTGTCTCAAAAAAAAGAAACAAAGAAAAGAAAATAGAGTATTCAAGTCTGCTACTATTATTGTTCAATTGTCTATTTCTCCCTTCATTTTTATCAATTTTTGTTTCATGTATTTTGGTGCTCTGTTAAACATGTTTATAATTACTATGTCTATCTATCTGTATATTTGGATTGCCTCTTATCATCATAAAATGTTCCTGTATATATAACAACACTTTTTGTTTTAAAGTCTATTTTGTTTGATACTCACTTGTGATTGCTGTTTGCACGATTATATCTTTTTCCATCCTTTAACTTTCAATTGATCTGTATCTTGGAATCTAAAGTGTGTCTCCTGTAGATAATATATAGTTCAATTTTTTAAATCCAGTCTGACAATTTCTGCCTTTTGATTGCATTGTTAAATCCATTCACATTTAATGTTAATGTTAGTTGAATTTATGTCTGCCATTTTACTTTTTCTCTTATGACTTTTTTTTTTGAGAGAGTCTCGCTTTGTTGTCCAGGCTAGAGTGAGTGCTGTGGTGTCAGCCTACGTCACAGCAACCTCAGACTCCTGGACTCAAGCAATCCTTCTGCCTCAGCCTCTCCAGTAGCTAGGACTACAGTCATGTGCCACCATGCCCGGCTGATTTTTTTTCTATGTATTTTTAGTTGGCCAATTAATTTCTTTCTAATTTTAGTAGAGATGGGATCTTGCTCTTGCTCAGGCTGGTCTCAAACTCCTCACCTTGAGCAATCCTCCTGCCTTTGTCTCCCAGAGTGCTAGGATTACAGGCGTGAGCCACCGTGCCTGGCCTGGTGTATTTCATTTATTTATTTTTAACTCAAATCAATCATGATAAGATTATGGAACTTTAAATTTTTTAATATATTTTTTTCTTTTTCTTTTTTAGTAGAGACAGGGTCTCACTGTTGCTCAGGTTTGTGTCGAACTCCTGAGAGCTCAAGCAATCTTCCCATGTAGGCCTCCCAGAGAGTTAGGATTACAGGCGTGAGCCACTGCACCCAGCCAAATTTTTTAAACTAAAGTTATAAATAATGTTTTGGGTAAGACTTGATTACTTTTAATTCTGGCAATATATGTTACTAAAACTAATGTCTGTGGGTTAGTTAAAAGATTTGGAATCTTTAGGTATTTTTTTTTTTTGAGACAGAGTCTTGTTCTGTCGCCCCTGGCTAAAGCATAGTGGGGTTGGCCTAGCTCACTGCAACTTCAACAACCTCAAACTCCTGGGATCAATTGATCCTCCTGCCTTAGCCTCCCTAGCTGGGGGGATTCTAGGCATGCGCCACCACGCCTGGCTAATTTTTCTATTTTTAGTAGAGGCTGGTCTCGCTTTTGCTCAGGCTAGTCTCAAGTCCTGAGCTCAGCCTTCCAGAGTGCTAGAATTACAAGCATGAGCCACCACACCTGGCTGGAGTCTTCAGTTTTTGATAAACCTTATTATAAGAATCAGTTAAATAAAAAAAAAAAAAAAAGAATCAGTTAAATAGTTTGTGTAAGTACATGTTATTTTAAATATAGTAGGACAAATCAATTCAAAGTTATTTCTTTGTCATTTTCCCTGGCAATATTAGGTTCTTTTTCAAAGATATTTTCAGGCCGGGCGCTGTGGCTCACGCCTGTAATCCTAGCTCTTGGGAGGCCGAGGCGGGCGGATTGCTCAAGGTCAGGAGTTCAAAACCAGCCTGAGCAAGAGCGAGACCCCGTCTCTACTATAAATAGAAAGAAATTAATTGGCCAACTGATATATATATAAAAAAAAAATTAGCCGGGCATGGTGGCACATGCCTGTAGTCCCAGCTACCCGGGAGGCTGAGGCAGAAGGATCACTTGAGCCCAGGAGTTTGAGGTTGCTGTGAGCTAGGCTGACGCCATGGCACTCACTCTAGCCTGGGAAACAAAGCGAGACTCTGTCTCAAAAAAAAAAAAAAAAAAAAAAAAAAAAAAAGATATTTTCAGTATTATTTTTGAAATATGCCTTTAAGTGATATATTTTTCTTCTAAACTATGCAGAGAGTCTAATAATTTGGTATGCTGCTTAGTTTCTGAAAAATCCTAGGTTTTGTACTGTAAAATGCATAGGTAAAACTTAATAGCAGGATATTAGTATTGTAATTCTCATATCTGAATCAATAACTGTAGGACATCAGTAAGCTAGTCTTTCTGGGCCTCATTTGCCAAGAATGGTAAAGTCTGGATTAGGGAGTTGACGTGCCTGAAGTTACAGATCTGCATTAATCTCTTGAGATCTTTTAATAGTCTTTTATTTGTTACTTTATAAACTTTTATTCTTAGCTATTTTACACCATTTTCAGGTGCTCTGAAATAATTTAAGTTACTAACATGATTGATTTACTTTCAAATAATTAAAATAAGCTCAAGGTGTTAACACTGTCCTGTGGGGCTTTTAATTATGTCATGTTCATTCTCTTGCATGATGACAAGACTTCTGGAATGGGAGAGAAATTCTCAGCTTAGGTGACTGAGAATTTTAAATATCCGTAGATATGCTTAAAGGAATGTTGTATAAATGAATGTCCTCTACCTTATGTTTTAAATTAGGATAAGGATTTTGAACAGTTGGCCTAAATTATTTAGGTGGTTACTTCAGTGCCCTCCTTTAGCTAAGGAAAGTTTCAAGATTTATAATACTACAACATAAATAAAATTAAAAATTGCTTTTACCAAAGTAAAAAAGAAAAGAGAGAGAGAGACTACTATACAATTTAGTTAACCCTAAAAATATCCATGGCATTATGACAATATCATAGTTGAAGAATAACCATTATATTGTAATATAGCAGAAGAGCTGAACTGGTCAGGCCTGGATTCCAGTCCTTCCTTTATCATTGATTAGTCCTGTATTTTGTCCTATGACTGTAGTTTTCTCAACTATAAGATAGAGATAATAGTATCTGGCTTTTCGAGTCATATAACTGAAGAAGGCACTTGATAATATAAAATATCACTGTAGGCTTATAAGGTTTTATAATTGTGGGCAATGAAAATTTAGGTTATCATTTGAAAAAATATGCTATTCTATTTTTTTTCCTTTTTGATGCACTTTTCTAGGTGAATGTGCCTCTTAGGAGCAATTATCTGGGAGTGTTGGGATAAGCTTGGGCTGCACAGACAGACTGTGCTTCCTGAAGGCCATGCTCCCTGAAAGACTCAGAGCAGCTCAGCCAGCACATCCAGAGTATGAAGCATGAAGTGCATTTATTCTGCAAAAATGATAAGTAAATATAATAAAAGAAAAAATTTAAAGGATTCCATTTTTTAATAAATACAGCAAAATCAATGAGAACTAAAATCATATTCAGAGTAATACATGACATCATTTTTCAGATATCACAGCCCTTTGAAAAAGACATTTAAATGTTGATTTGAATTGTTCATGTTAATTACATAGAGCATTTTTTTTTAAAGTAGTGAAGTCACAAAGTAAAAATAAAGTCAATAACTAAAAACTGGAACAAAATATACTGAACACAAAGGCATTTGAGTCTTTGAATTTGAATTCAAAATGAGAAAATGGGAAGGTGCCAAGGTATTGCACAGGGTTGCTTAAACCCCACTGAGGATATATCAACCTCTGGTAGACTTTGTGTTGTCAGCAGTCACTTTCAAAGAGTATTGTAATGGGCTTATCAGAATTTAAATGGTACTGAAAATCATATAAAAGTTAGTAGAATCATAGTGTCTTTATATAAAAAAGTACCAAGTATTCAGGCTATATAATGAGTAGACTTATATTTAATAATAGAAGATAGCTAGGATTTTTAAGATTTTCCTTTTATTTATGCTGTTTAGAGAAGGATCAAGTAACATTCTCCTTGGCCAGCAGTGGCATGGTGGTGCATGCCTGTATTCTCAGCTACTCTGAAGGCTGAGGCAGGAGGATCGCTTGAACCCCAGGAGTTTTTGAGGTTGCTGTGAGCTAGGCTGACGCTTCGGCACTCTAGCCCAGGCAACAGAGAGAGGCTCTGTCTCTCTCTCACACACACACACACACACACAAATTAATTACATATAAGTTCAGAAAGCCAAAGATTTACTTTATTAATAAATATAGTAGACCATAGCCATGAATTTGTACTTGACAAAAAAGAAAAAAAAAGCCCTTCCTAAATAACCTTTCGGTGATTCAATGCAGTAATGTTTTCCCTCTCAAAATGTGTTTATCACTTAAGAGAGAAAAGAAATCCTAGTGGTGTAAATTTCTTTTTAAGAATGAATCTTTCTTCAGGTCATATATGGTAAAACAAGAAAGAGAGAGAGAAAAAAAAATAGAAGAAAGAAAAATAAAAAAGAATGAATCTTTTAAAGAAAACATTTTATTTTATTTATTTATTTATTTATTTTTTAAAGAAAACATTTTAGATGAAGTTTGGATTCATTTCCTTTTCCTCACTTCAACTCCCTTCTCTTTCCATTGCTATCTTTACTTTGAGATTTACTTACTTCCCTATGCTGGCAAATGAATGGCTCATGGATTGCTCAGTTTATTAATTCATTTAGCTTGTCCTTCAGGGTTAAGGCAACCACAAAAATGTTTTTGCCTGTAGTTTGTCTAAGTGCAATGGGACAGCAATATCCTATAGAGCCAGAAGATGGTGGTATTGCTCATAAAAGCAGGTCATTTTGCTGTTTTTCTGGATTGTTCAGACTATTTTAAGCCCTTCTGTATTTTCAAAATCCACACAGGATCTAAACTTTTAAAATAGCAAAATTTGGGAATGTTTGTCTGTTTTTAATCAAAAGTATGAATATATTTGTGTATATATGTATATAGTCTCACACTAAGGAATTAGAAAGATCTTTGCCTCTAAAGGCTTTGGCATTAAGGTTACTGCATTTTTTACAAATGGAATTATGAACCCATAATTAAGTGATGCTACTTTAAGGTTGTTTTGTATCTCTTGCAGTGAAATTATAATAAGGTGCCTAGGAAGATTTTTTCTTCCCCTTTCAATTTCTACTCTTCTTTATGCCCTTTTGCTGTTTTCTTTACTCCTTATTTCTTCTGCCTATAGTAAAGTAAATCTTTGGCTTTGTGAGCTTAAGTATTAACAACAGACTGTTGTAATTTTCTTTTTTGGGGGGGACAGAGTCTCATTCTGTCCAGGGAGCTAGAGTGCTGTGACATCAGCCTAGCTCACAGCAACCTCCAAACTCCTGGGCTCAAGTGATCCTCCTGCTTCAGCCTCCTGAGTAGCTGGGACTACATGCCTTACCACCATGCTCGGCTAATTTTTTCTATTTTTAGTTGTCCAGCTAATTTCTTTCTATTTTTAGTAGAGACAGGGTCTCACTCTTGCTCAGGCTGGTCTGGAACTCCTGAGCTCAAGGGATCCTTTCCCCTCAGCCTCCCAGAGTGCTAGGGTGACAGGTGTGAGCCACGGCAGCCGGCCAGCCTGTTGTAATTTCTATCGCAAGACGCAATTGAGTGCGATTTCTAATATTGCACACAAAACTATGCCCTAACACGTTTATTGGTACTTAATATACATTTCTTACTTGGTTGATGCTTTCAACACTCTGTGGAACTTTCACACAGAGCTAGCTTCAGAGTGGAATGTTACCAAGGAAACTCATTTACCAATGGGTGATCGTTTGATTAAGAATTACCTACTTGTTTTACTGCACACTTAATGGGTTCAGTGGGACCCTGGGAGTATTTCTTTCCTTTATTCTATGGCTAATTACCCTCAGTTCATTTTTGCCAGTGTGATATCAATTCCACATCATATGAGCAAACCGGATTAACTGGGCTGAGTGTGGTTATTGGAGACATTACCTTAGTGAGGGATAGTACAAATGTTACAAATAAATCCGGAAAGACGCTGAGACTAACACCTGCAAATCACGTACCTGTAGTTAAGGTCCAGACTATGATCTTAGCTTTCGGAAGTCAGTGAGCAAAATCCATAAAGAACCCTGTCCTCCTGGGGCTTACGTTGAAGTTGGCAGGTATTGAAGGAGGTATTCAATAAAAAAATCGAAAAAAGAGTAGAACAGGTACCAGGGCTGTATGGCGGCAGGTTGCCAGGAGAAACTGCATGGAGAATTTCGGGAGTCACCCGCCGAGGGCACCCAACGCGCTCAGGCACAGGGGCCTAGCAGGGAGGCCTGGGCAGTCGAGGCCGGAGCGGTTCAACAGCCCTTTTTCTTAGGGATTCACTCCAGGCTGGGTTCAGGTTCCTAACTGGGCCTTCAGCAAGCAGTTCCTGGGGAATCAATACCAGTGACTTCCCCGATTTTCAGGGAGGACCCCGGCTGGCGCGCTCAGGGCGCCGCCAGAGTCGGCCCGGGGAGCCGCCGTGTGCCTGCTGGACCTCGCGGCCCGACTGCGCGCCACGGCCCCAGATCCGCGCCGCACTCGGACCCTCCCGGCCCGGCGTCCCCCACTGAAAGCGCTCCGAGTCCCCCAGCCCTGCACGTCCCCCGCCGAGCGGCTCGTGCGTCCCCTCCTGACCGTGCGTCACCGCCCGCAACCGTGCGCCCCTCCCCCGCGACCGTGCGTCCCACCAGCGCGTCACAGCTCTGGACTTCGCGAGCCCTCCCGGTCGCGCGGCCCCTCCCGGCCGGTGCACCCCCTGCAGCCTGCGGCCCTGAGGGGCGGCGCGGGGCGGCGCGGCGCTGGGCGGGGCGGGCGGACGGAAGCCATCGCGTGGCTACCGGCCGGCGGCGGCCTGCTCGGGACTGCCACTGCGCCCTCGCCGCCCTCCCTCGCCCACGCCGCCCGGGCCCTGGCCTCATACCCCGCCTGGTTCCCGCGGCGGCGCGCGCGGCCGGGCAGGGCGGCGGCGGTTCCGGCGATGAGGAGGCGGCGGCGCGCGGAGACGATGCTCGGGAGCTGAGCAGACGCCGGCACACGGCGCGGCGGCCGAGCGCGGCGCCGACTCGCGGGATGGCTCAGCCGGCCGGCCGGGCGGGCGGCGGGGAGCCGGCGGAAGGCGAGGAGACGCCGGAGCCCGGGGCGGCCGGCGGCCCGCAGGACTCGCTGAGCCTGGAGGAGATCCTGCGTCTCTACAACCAGCCCATCAACGAGGAGCAGGCGTGGGCCGTGTGCTACCAGTGCTGCGGCTCCCTGCGCGCCGCCGCCGCCCGCCGGAGCCCGCCGCCCGGGCCGCCCTCGAGGGCCGGGAGTGGCGCCCGGAGGCCGCGCCTGCAGGTGAGGGCGGGGAGACGGGCACCCGGGTCGGACTGGGGGCTCCACGGGCAGGACCCGGACTAGGTCCCCAACACCAGCCCCGACAGCCGGCTGGCGCCTCGGACTCCCAGTGGGGGTGCGATGGGGCCTGGGCCAGGGGGTCGGCGCTAGGGCGGGGGAGCCCATCCCGGTTCCCTGCGCCCCGTTTCTCCCGGGGCAGAATCCCAGATAAAGCCCCCTTCTCCCTTCCTCTTCTAGAAGCGAGGGCTCTAGCATCAGACAGTGCCCGGTAGGATCCCCGAAGAAGATGTGGCCCCGGGCGTGTCACTTCACCTCTCCGGGTCTTGCTTCCCACCTGAGCTGCGGCGGGCGGCGGCGGCGCGCAGGGAGCCGCAGCACTGGTAGCACACGGCCCACGCCTGCTCCTCGTTGATGGGCTGGTTGTAGAGACGCAGGATCTCCTCCAGGCTCAGCGAGTCCTGCGGCCGCCGGCCGCCCCGGCTCCGGCGTCTCCTCGCCTCCGCCGGCTCCCCGCCGCCCGCGCCGGCTGAGCCATCCGCGAGTCGCGCCGCGCTCGGCCGCCGCGCTGTGCCGGCGTCTGCTCAGTCCGGAGCATCGTCTCCGCGCGCCGCCGCCTCCTCATCGCCGGAACCGCCGCCGCCCTGCCCGGCCGCGCGCGCCGCCGCGGGAACCAGGCGGGTATGAGGCCAGGGCCGGGCGCGTGGGCGAGGAGGGCGGCGAGGCGCAGTGGCAGTCCCGAGCAGGCCGCCGCCGGCCGTAGCCACGGATGCTTCCGTCCGCCCGCCCGCCCAGCGCCGCGCCGCGCCGCCCGCGCCGCCCTCAGGCCGCAGGCTGCAGGGTGCACCGGCCGGAAGCCGCGCGACCGGGAGGCTCGCGAAGTCCAGAGCTGTGACGCGCTGGTGGGACGCACGGTCGCGGGAGGGGCGCACGGTTGCGGGCGTGACGCACGTCAGGAGGGACGCACGAGCCGCTCGGCGGGGACGTGCAGGGCTGGGGATCGGAGCGCTTTCAGTGGGGACGCCGGGCCGGGAGGGTCCGAGTGCGGCGCGGATCTGGGGCCGTGGCGCGCAGTCGGGCCGCGAGGTCCGCAGGCACACGCGGGCTCCCGGGCCGACTCTGCGGCGCCCTGAGCGCGCCAGCCGGGTCCTCCCTGAAAATCGGAAGTCACTGGTATTGATTCCCCGGAACTGCTTGCTGAAGGCCCAGTTAGGAACCTGAACCCAGCCTGGAGTGAATCCCTAGAAAAAGGGCTGTTGAACCGCTCCGGCCTCGACTGCCCAGGCCTCCCTGCTAGGCCCTGTGCCTGAGCGCGTGGTGCCCTCGGCGGGTGACTCCCGAAATTCTCATGCAGTTTCTCCTGGCAACCTGCGCGCATACAGCCCTGGTACCTGTTCTACTCTTTTTTCGATTTTTTATTGAATACCTCCTTCAATACCTGCCAACTTCAACGTAAGCCCAGGAGGACAGGGTTCTTTATGGATTTTGCTCACTGACTTCCGAAAGGCTAAGATCATAGTCTGGACCTTAACTACAGGTACGTGATTTGCAGGTGTTAGTCTCAGCGTCTTTCCGGATTTATTTGTAACATTTGTACTATCCCTCACTAAGGTAATGTCTCCAATAACCACACTCAGCCCAGTTAATCCGGTTTGCTCATATGATGTGGAATTGATATCACACTGGCAAAAATGAACTGAGGGTAATTAGCCATAGAATAAAGGAAAGAAATACTCCCAGGTCCCACTGAACCCATTAAGTGTGCAGTAAAACAAGTAGGTAATTCTTAATCAAACGATCACCCATTGTGTAAATGAGTTTCCTTGGTAACATTCCACTCTGAAGCTAGCTCTGTGTGAAAGTTCCACAGAGTGTTGAAAGCATCAACCAAGTAAGAAATGTATATAAGTACCAATAAACGTGTTAGGCATAGTTTTTGTGCAATATTAGAAATCGCACTCAATGCGTCTTGCGATAGAAATTACAACAGGCTGGCCGGCTGCCGTGGCTCACACCCTGTCACCCTAGCACTCTGGGAGGCTGAGGGGAAAGGATCCCTTGAGCTCAGGAGTTCCAGACCAGCCTGAGCAAGAGTGAGACCCTGTCTCTACTAAAAATAGAAAGAAATTAGCTGGACAACTAAAAATAGAAAAAATTAGCCGAGCATGGTGGTAAGGCATGTAGTCCCAGCTACTCAGAGGCTGAAGCAGGAGGATCACTTGAGCCCAGAGTTTGGAGGTTGCTGTGAGCTAGGCTGATGTCACAGCACTCTAGCTCCCTGGACAGAATGAGACTCTTCCCCCCAAAAAAGAAATTACAACAGTCTGTTGTTAATACTAAGCTCACAAAGCCAAAGATTTACTTACTATAGGCAGAAGAATAAGGAGTAAAGAAAACAGCAAAAGGCATAAAGAAGAGTAGAAATTGAAAGGGAAGAAAAAAATGTCCTTGACGGCTCTTAGTCGT